AGAGAGAGAGACAGGCAGAGGCAGAGGGAGAAGCAGACTCCCCACCGAGCAGGGAGCCCGATGCGGGACTCGATCCCGGGACTCCAGGATCATGACCTGAGCCAAAGGCAGACGCTTGACCAACTGAGCTACCCAGGCGCCCAATGCATAATAATTCTTAAAAGCATTATGTGACTCAAACTCCTAGAAATTATTGTCTGAATGTGCCCTTGCCCTACTATTATTTCACCAAGCTTGTAGAACTGGCCTGATTTGCTTACTGCAAATAAAACTTTATTCTGCTATGGCATTTTTTGGGGACAATCTCTACATTACCCTCCACTGTTATATTTAAAAGCACTTGAGAAAATAGCCTGCCATTTATGGGAAACTGGTCCCCAACCAGAGGGTGGGCTGAAACCAGTGTCAGCATGGATAAGCTGATTTAAATTCCTTCTACACTCTTATTTGACTTGTAAACTTGGACACATCTGTTTGCTTGTTTGTTTTTAAACATCTCTGCATCTACAACTCTTTGCTGAAAAAATGGGTACAAGAATGTTTTTCTCTTTGGGGCTTTGTGATAACTGACCAAAAATACAGATAAAGTGCCTTGCATGGAACTTCCTATGTAGAGTTACACAATTTTATAAAGTTATTATTTGCTGCTCCTTCAGGGGAATACGAAGCACATACCTTTAAATGAAGATTTCCCGTGAATTTAGGTAGGGAAGCAGATTTTTGGATGGCTCAATGATTCTTTTTAAGAAGATAGGACATCCGTAGATTCAGTTTTGTTGTATTTTGAAATCTAATGCTTTATAAAATATTGACTGAAGTACTCTGTCTCTTCCTAGAATCCTTTCATTTTATTCTGGACTTGTCCCTGCAATACATTCAAAGTCTGAAGATGACTGTTCCTTATATGCACCTATTCAGGTGGAAAGTGTTTTTTTTTTTTCTTTTTCTTTCTTTCTTTCTTTTTTCTTTCTTTTCTTTCTTTCTCTTCTTCCTTCCTTCCTTCCTTTTTTTTTTTTCTTGTGTCCTCTACTGACATCTCATGGATTTCCTACGTCAGAACTTTGAAAAAAGAAATCTGTTTGAAATTTTGAAACGCGAGTGCTTAATAGTAGCAGTCATGTTTTGACATTCAAAAAACTTGAAAGAAGAGAAGGATTTTATTTCCTAAATATAGAAGGGAAAATTGTTTCAATTATTTGAGTGACGACTAGTCTGCTTTTACAAAGTTCATTTTCTGGTGATAAAGATGTTGGGCCAAGAAGACTGCAACCAGTGAAGTGTAAGACTCCCTTGTAAGAAGGCTGCGCTCCGAATGCGGGGGTGGGGTGGGGGGAGCTGTTGGCGCTGGAAGCCCTTCCAGATCCAGAAGGAGATTCGCGCTCCCTTTCCTTTCCTTACCACAACCCGTCCTGTAATTAGCGGAGCAAGTCAATCTGAGCTAGGCAAATCACTGGCTTTTGACGAAATAATTATATTTCTGTTGCTCTCGGACGTGTGCACCTCTAAGCCTGAAAAACAGAGAGAGATGTTTTTCTTTTTCGTGACCGGGGGCAGGGAGAAAAAAGGGGAAGCGACGGGGGTACAGGGAGCGAGACCAGGACAAGGTGGAGGGAGAGAGGAAAGGATTCCGTGGGAGCGTGGGAACACTGAGTCCCGCACGGGCAGTTTCAGCACGCAGACACAATGCCCCGTACAGTACGCGATTTGATAACCCCAAGGGGAACAAAACGAGGCTTTTCTCAAGTTTCTGTACCCTCCACAGAGCTCCACAGTGTGTCCCGGCCTCCGCAGCTCCCGGGCCCGGCCGGTAGCTCCCCCACCCCCGCGGGGCCCAGCTTCCCTTCCCGACCCCGAGCCGGCGGCGCCTCCCCGCGTGCCCAGCACACCCCGCGTCCCCTCGTAGGAGCCTGCGGGGGAAAGGGCGCGACGCGTGGGTCGCGCCGGCCCCTTCGCTGGAGGGACGCCCGACGCTGCCTCCGGGGCGGGGACAGCTCCGGCCACCTTGCGCGATTCCGCCCAGAGCTGGCTGGTTCCGGGGGTGGGGGGTCTGGGCGCGCAGCGCTGGCGACAGGGGAGCGCGGCCCCGCGTCGCCCGCGGGCTCGGGCAGGTGCGCGGCGTG